TGTGTGTGTGTGTGTGTGTGTGTGTGTGTGTGTGTGTGTGTGCGCGCGCACGCATGCGTTTGCATTGTCTGCAGCAGAAAGCAGTCAGCTGAGCTTCGGAGCAGAGTGTAGCATCTATAATCATGTCCAAAACGTTGGAGTAAAATTGTAATTAAGCAAAATTTTGACAAAGCAAGTCTGTATTTGAGTTCTCCAGTGCTACATTCCTGCTTCACGTGCAGGGGTCATAATAAGCACACATTCTGCAATAATGCATTGAGATGTAAATCTCTTCATTATACCAACAGATTTATGCACTATTTTCCCATTTTTAAAGAGCAACAGTGAGGTGCTCCAAATATTTGTTCAATAGACCTAATGAAATTTATGAATTCCAAAAATTAGGCTTAGAACTTTAAATCCATCAAAATACCATAACTGTTAAACATTTGAGGAACTGGTTTTCGTGTCTGTGAGGGACCTTCCCTTCATTTTCCCAGTGTCTGCATTAATCCTCTGCACATTTCCTCGGGGGTTAGTTTTAATGACTGGAACAAGAAAAACAGGAATTAATGATTGTTAATGAGAACGGATGCTTCCTGTTGTGATGCACCCTTGCACAAGCTGTAATGCTCAGTATCACACAGTTATCTTGTTAGCTCAAAACATGTGGTGCATTTTATGTAGAAGTGAAGGTGGACTGATAAAAACCTGACTCTTGGTGTATTCACACCAGGAAGGTCCTTTGGTCCGCTTGTTGTGTCCGGACCAAAAGTGGACTTTTTTTTTCATTTGGTGCAGTTTGCATTTACATTGTGCTTTTTTGCAAATGAACTATAAGTTGTAAACAAAGCCACGAGGCTGATGATCATTGCTCCCACTGGACAAAAAAAGGACGGGGGCGGGACTGAGCCACAGACCCAGAAGAAAACAAGGAAGTCCTGCATTCTGCGGTTCTGATGCGCATATTTTTGCTGATTTTACAACTGCAATAGCATTTAAAATGTCAGAAGCAGCTAATTTAATGGTGGTTTCGTGATGAAATTCTAATTTTGGAGCGATGTCAGTAAATGTGTCCCGCGACCCAAAGGAGACGAGGTGCTCTGCGTGTTCTGACCCACAACATGCTGCAGCAGAGCTGCTAACAGGAGACGATGAAACAGGTATGTTTTCAGTTTATTTAGCTCAGCAACGGTGGCCTGTGAGGTCCAAAAAGGTGCATGTTTAATGCAGTTGGTTCGGTTAGAGTCCGGTCTGTATTCATACCTGAAGTGAACTGAAGTGAACCGCACCAGAGGTCATTTGGAAGCGGATCGAGACCACCTCAAAAAGCAGGTCTCGGTCCGGTTGTTTGATTTGCACCAGAGTTTGCATGAGTGTATTCACACCTGGACAAAAGGTCCAGACCAACGCTGGAAATGAATTCTGGTCCGTTTAAGGCGGACCAAATGTGTCAGGTCTGAATATGACCTTAGAGGAGTAAGAGAATATCTTTCGTCAAAATATGATTTATGGTTCCTTGTCATAACACAGGAAGTAATGAATTTTGTGACCGCAGCCAGGGTAAAGAAAAAAACGTGCTTTTGAAAGATTGTCAGCACAAAGCATCAAGAGGTTGGCATAAATGTAGGAAAACAGACTGAGTGGATTTATATTTTGATATCAAACATGGATTAATATTCTATCACAGGATGAATTCCACATTTACATTCTTGTTTTCCTCAGATAGACTCCAGGTATAAACTCCAGCCAATTACAAACCCTTCATCTTGTCTCTGAGATAATGACGAGTCTAGATCCCAAAGTGTCTCAATGTGCCTAACTTTCCATGAAACTAAATAATCACAGAACTCACGAAAACTAAATCATATTTTTTTAGTGTTGTGACGTGTGCATGATTCATGATTTAAATTTGTGTATTTGTTTTAATCAATGATGCTTCACTTAACCCAGGGCTGTCAAATTCATTTTCACAGAAGGCCATGTGAGGGTTACGGTGGCCCTCAAAGGACCAGTTGTAATTAATGTCAATGTTTCATGTTTAAATGTGATTAAAGACAAAACATCATGTTTCTTGTCTTGTTGCTATGACTGAGCTCTGCCAACAAACAATAATTGAGCTTTATGTTTCAGTCGCACACAATACTTTTTTAGTGTTTATAAGAAGATGTGTTAAAACACTGTTTCTATGCAGGTAATACCTTTTATTACCTGCATAGAATATTTGGGTACACCTAGCAGTCATTGTTTGTTAGCCGTAGCAATGAGACGAGGAACGTGATGTTTTGTCTTAAGTCAAAGTTAAACACAAAACATCAAATTTAATTACAACTAACCCTGTGAGGTCCACCATAATGCTCTAGTGGCTCTTAGTGAAAATTTGTTTGACACCCCTGCATTGTTCACCCCTAAACATCTGAACTTATGGTACCAGGGCTTTGAACCCTATTACAAGTAGTGGGTCCTCACAAGTTGGTATATTTAGGAAAAATGGAGCTTCAAGGTACCAAATGCTAGAACACACACACACACACACACACACACACACACACACACACACACACACACACACACACAC